CTAAAATCAATAAAAAAATATTTAAAAATAAATAAAATGTAAAAGTATCATGTTGCAATAACTATTTCAGGTGTCTGCTCAAGATAGGATTTTATGAGAATCAGCATCTCCTTATAGATATGGCAAAGCCAGATGATAAAATTGGGTATTTGTCATTAAAAATCTATGAATTATGATGCTTTCTTGATGGCATTTAAATAACCTTAAATTCTTTATAGAAGCATTCCATTGATGTAATATCTCTTTTCTAGTCATAGAGTTATCTATTCAGAAGCCCAGTTTATTTTATAAATAAACTTTGAATATTCATATTATTATTATTATAAATTTCTATTATCCTTCTATATTTTGAGTTTTGAAAGTATTTAAATGTATAGCAATTAATTTTAATGAAGTTAGAGAGTTGTTGCAACTCTTACACTCTTTCTTTTTAGAAAGATTATCTTCCCTTTTAAAGTTATATTTCTCAAAGATATACTTTATCAGTTTTGAAAAACTGAAGTTTCTCTAATATGCAAGATGCTATAAAGCACAGTTGGGGTATAAAATAAATTTAGTCCTGGCTGTAAATGAAATTGTAGTATAATGGACAGTAACATTAAGTTATTTGATAGAGGTATATATAAAATACAGTAGTAGCCAAAACCGGTTTGGCTCAGTGGATAGAGCATCAGTCTGTGGACTGAAGTGTGTCAGGTTCGATTCCGGTCAAGGGCATGTACCTTGGTTGCGGGCACATCCCCAGTGGGGGGTATGTAGGAGGCAGCTGAATCGATGTTTCTCTTCCACCGATGTTTCTAACTGTCTATCCCTCTTCCTCTCTGTAAAAAAATCAATAAAATATTTTTTAAAAAATAAATAAAATACAGTAGTAATACAGAGCCAGAGTGGAAATAATTTAATTCTACTTATGGAAATTCAGAAATTTTATGCAGTTTGGTCTGGATAGCTTATAGGATACTGCTTAGTAGTTTGGTATATCATGAAAAATGAGACTTATGAGTTTCTCTACTAGTTAATGAAGCATCTATTCCAGAATAGTGGCTTAAGACCTTATAAGTTTTAAAGGTAACATAATTTCTGCAAAAAAAAAAAAGAAAAGAAAAGAAATTACAGTTGTTTTTTTAATATCTCTTCAAGGGTTTAGTACTAGTTTTAGTTGAATTTCTGCTGATTTTAAGTAGTCTACTAATCTAATTCAGAGGGAACCTTTCTAAACCCTGAACAAAGAAAGAACTGTACTTGGGCTTAGTTTTTACCATGTCTTGTTTGGTAGTAAGGCTGCATCAGGATATCTTAACCATAATGTTCATCAATAGAACTAGCTCCTATGTTGTATTAGTGATACATTAGATTTATATTGTATGTGTATAATTATAGAATGCACTATTTGATTGCTAAAAGGTAGTTTCTAATTATTTTGTTTCATAGAAGTCAATGATGAAATAAACTTGTTTTGATTTACTGTAGTCTAAATCTTTTCTTTTAATTAAGTCTTCCTAATTTGATATCTTAATGCATTAAAGCTATGTTTTTAACAGGTAGCTTGATTCAGATAAAGAATTGATTCTGAATATTGGATATGGTACTGGAAAAGGTACAACTAAAAAAAAAAAAGGATCTTTGAGATTTATTATAAATTAATTTGTGCCTGAACATTTTCTTCTGTGGCTTATTTCCTTCTATAATTATTAATCCTAAAATATTGTCATACCTTGTCCAGAAGAATTTTTATTGAATAAGACATAAAAACATGTGCTGCTATAAGCCATGCTAAATTCTCTACATTTTAGGATAGTGTGTTACTGTTGTCTTAGTAAAAGGAAGGAGATAAAATTAATGAATAATATAAAATTAATTTCATTTGTTCATGGCTGTACTCCTCTTCCAGATTGGCTGTATTTAGCTATATGTTTGATTGAAAATATACCTGTAGTTTTATATTTGGCTATATGTGAAAATTTCTTTTAGGAAAGGAGAGGTGTTGTTCTTGTTCACAGAAATATATGTATACTATATAATTGGATACTGACTAAATGATAACTTGATTTTTTTTTTTTATAACTTGATTTTTTAATCGGGCATCTCTTAAAAGTCACAATTTTTATATCTATTATTAAATATAGAAGGATATGTAATGTAAATAATTTATATTTTAAACCTATTGTGATTTGATACTCTTGATATTACTGATTACATTTAAATTCTTTGCATATCCCACTGTCTATGAGAACCAATTCAATAAAATAAGAAAAAGATGTCTTTAGGTATTGCATTTGGTTTACTCATTTTTATTTTTAGTAGAGTCCTGTGCAGTAGGATTGGTCCTTTTAATATCACTACACACTAGTTTAACAACTACCTGTGTAAACAGTGTGGCAGGTTTTAATGCTTCTGCCAGAGGGCACTTATTATGAAATATTATTTTACCTTTGGACAGAATAGTAGTGTCTTTCAGGGTGGTGGTGGTGGTGATGGTGGAGCGGTGTTTTTATACTTTTTCCCTATGAATAGTTATTTGAGTATGCCTACTTAAAATCTTTCCAGTCCTAACTCTGTGACCTTAGCAAACCATTTTTTTTTTTTTTTTTTTTTAGCAAACCATTTCCATAATTTCTACATAAAAGTCAGGGAACATACACTGCATTTCCTATCATATGAGGTCTTTTTAGTATTAAATAAGAAAATACATATCAATTAGAAATACTGTCTTGAAAAGTTTTATGTTAGTATCTGATAGATAATTCAGCATACAATATTTTAGGGTCTAATACAGTGAAGTACAAAGTGACTCTTAAGAAATACACATTCATTTATAGAATAGAACTATTCTAATGATTAATTGTAAAGCTTATCTGCCATGTCAGTTGCCATGGAAGAAAATTTTTAAAGACTTAGAATTTGTGGGAGGAAATCAGGGGCATATTGGAAATAACAATGATATTTTTTAAATGAACTATCAAATATCATGTTATGAGTTATTCTATTGATGGCTCTATTTTAACCTTAGTTTATAGTATATAGAGTGTTTATAGTGCTGGACATTGGTGAATAAGTTAGTAAAATGTGATAACTCATGTCAAAGAATTTGTAAGCTAGGAAATACCTTCATGGCTCTCAAATCTTATCTCAACAATTTTTTTAATCTTTTTAAAAATATATATTTTATTGGTTTTTTGGGAGAGGAAGGGAGATAAATAGAGAGTTAGAAACATCGATGAGAGAGAAACATCGATCAGCTGCCTCCTGCACAACCCCTACTGGGGCTGTGCCCGCAACCAAGGTACATGCCCTTGACCAGAATCGAACCTGGAACCTTTCAGTCCGCAGGCTGATGCTCTATCCACTGAACCAAACCGGTTTTGGACATTTTTTTTTTTAATCTTAATACTCAGGACAGATAGGCAGTGGCAGCAATATCACTTTCTAACAAATAAAGATGCTTTACTTCAAAATTTAGAATTTTTAATGCAAACACAACTTCTGCTGTGGCTTCTAGAATTCATATGTTTATGTAACAAATATTTATTGAGCACCTATTACATGCCAGGCATTTGTGATAATTAAGTGGACAAAGAAAGCTCCCCAGGATTTAGGAGCTTATATTCTAGAGGGAGTGACAGTCAACTATAAACATAAGTAAATTATAGTATGTTAAAAGTAAGTGCCATGGAGGGAAAAAGGAGCAGGCTAAGGGGGATGAGTGTTGAGGCAGTTGGACATATTGCAGGTTTAAATAAGGTTTCCTTGAAAAAGTGGTATTTCAACGAAGGCTTGAAGGAAGGTGTAGTTGGCCAGGTGGATATTTGGAGGAAGAACGTACCAAACAAAGAGAATAGCCAAGAGTGTGTCTTATTTAAGGAACATCAAGGAAGCCAATGGAAACAGGATGAGTGAAAGAGGGAGTAGAATAGAAGATGAAGTTAGAAAAAAAGGACAAAGATCATGTAGGATTTTATAGGGATTTTGGTTTTTACTCAGAAGAAGGCAGTCATTGCAGGATTTTGAGCATGTTTTGACTTTAGAAGCCTGGCTGCCACTGTTCTGGCAGCATGGGAATCTCAGCTGTGCAAGCCATAGAGAACATGAATTTGGGAGTCTAAAAGGGTCTGAACAAGCCAAAAATGAATCATTCTGTATTCACACTCACCAAGCACCCTGGTGTTCAGCCTTTCAGTGTTCTGTGGTGCAGGTCAGCTTGTTGTACCTTCCCTCTCTTAGCCTTAGAGTTTAGTTTTCGCAATTCTGTTCTTTTCCACTAGTTCTCATCTTTCCAACTTCACTGTCGTTCTGTCATCCTTCGTCATTTTATTGGTTGTTTTAGGAGAGTGCAGAGAAGTATGCTTATCTGTCTCCACGTGGAACCAGAAGACTGAAGCTATAAAAACTAATTTCCCAATATGATTAGAAAAAACACCTCTGAAGTACTTGCTCTGGAACTTCTTCACCTGCTATTGTAAAACATCTTGACAGAATTAACAGTCTAACAATGTTATTTTCATGACACACAAATCAGGCCTTTACAATTTTTTAACTTAAAATAGATCTACTATGGCAATAGGTAAAGGATAATCACTTTTTCATTGTGTAATGTGAGAATTGTGTAAGTGAAGTGTTGTCTCTTTATATACCCCATAATTTGAGAGCGTCTGTCCTGGAATAGGTTATATTTAAAAGTTCCTTTAAGTGAATGGATTTGGTCAGGTTAATGTGCTTGAGAACTTGGGAACTGAGTGGATTGCCAAAAAACATATTTTGGTGAAAACAACATAAGGAAAGGAGACTTTAATTTTAACTCCATTTCTTTATTGCTAAATATGAGATGTCAATAGATCACATAACCTTTCTGTGGCCTCAATTTCTTCATTTGCAAAAGGAAGGCTTGCAGGTTAGATCACCTCTAACTGTAAAAACTTTATAATAGTGAAGTTGTTTTGTAAGTTTTTTTGTGCTTTTATGGAGAATAAATATAATTAATTTTCTATTTATTTTTAATGCAGGTTAATGGTGCAATGTAAGAAACCTTTAAAAGTTTCTGATGAATTAGTACAGCGATATCAAATTAAAAATCAGTATCTTACAGCAATAGTATCTGATGCAGAAAAAGAACCTAAAATTGATCCATATGCATTTGTTGAAGGAGATGAGGAATTCCTTTTTCCTGATAAGAAAGATAGACAAAATAATGAGAGAGAAGCTGGGAAAAAACAAAAGGTAAGAGAAATCAAAGTATATATCAAAGGGTCTCTGATGACTTGTAGCACTGCCTATAGTACCATACCTTTCATTTTTTTTTTCTTTTAAAATAGAATGGATTCATCATTTTAACTTAGAAAAACATTTTTTAAAATAGGTTAGTCAGGCACCTATTTTAAATTATAGCTGACTTATGTCATGAAAAGATATTTTTTGTTTGCTATAAAAGTTTTTGGATTGGAGAAAAAACATTAACTTACTGAAATGAAGACATTTAGGTAGATAAACTATTTTAATACCGAGTTAAAATATGCCATCAGTGAATTCATCAGTTTTCAAAAATACAATAGAATATATACCATTGAGTTTATAAAATAAATATTTTTAAATATGTGAGCCAAGAACTTTTAGTGTCCCTAAAAGTAAAATGTTATATTAATAAAGTATAGGACATAGATATATTTATTTGGTTAAAAGGTTAAATATCAAATATTTGAGGAACTCTAAAGCACAAGCTAACTCTGCTATATATGTCTTTTGCTTTAAATACAAACTACGAAAATTGGAAGTATAAAATTCTGAAAAGAATTTAGTTATATGTTTAATACAATAATATGTTTACTATGTTCTAGGTACTTAAAATTTTGTCTTTTTGTAAATATGAAAATAGTAGTGGCTGGGAAGGATGTAGATACTATACAAAAAATATAGACTTGTTACTTTATTTCTTTTTATTCAATTTATTAGGGTGACATTAGTTAATAATATAGGTTTTAGGGGTATAGTTCTATAATACAACATATGTTTATTGTATTGTTCACTCCACCCCAAGTTAAGTTTCCTTTTATCACCAGAACATGGGAGTTTGACAGTTCCCACAACTTATCAGCCATACTTACCTGGGTTATCTTTATAACTGTTTTTTTGTTTGTAAGATGAGCCGACTACTTACTTATCATATACTGGTATGTTACTTGTGAGAATTAGTAATAATATCTGCAGAATATCTAGCAGAATGCTTGAAACAGTGTTTTCTGATTTTGTTATTGGTAAATTATATACTTAAGCCTAATATGTAATATTGTTTGCAGGTAGAAGATGGGTCATCTAGTGTAACAGTGTTATCACATGAAGAAGATGCTATGTCATTATTTAGTCCTTCTATCAAGCAAGGTAAAAATTCTGTTTCAGAATCAAAATATTGCATTCCAGGATTGTTACTACAAACTACAGTTGACCCTTGAAGAGTGTGGGGTTTGGGGTGCTGATACTCTGATTCCACATAGTCAAAAATCCTCATATAACTTGACTTCTCAAAAATTTAAGTAGTAATAGCCAACTATTGACTGGAACCTTTATTGATTACATACACAATTTGTTAACATATATTTTGTAACATGTATTTTATGCTATACTAGAGGCCTGGTGCACGAATTCGTGCACAGGTGTGGGGTCCATCAGCCTGGGTGGTGATCGGGGCCAACGGAGGCCCATCTCACCTAGTCCTGATCAGGGCTAATCAAGCCAGCTGCTCAGGCAGATGGACTGCGGGAGGTTGGCTGTGGGAGCTTAGGCTTTTATGTATATAGACTAGAAACCCAGTGCACGAAACTTGTGCACGGGGGTGTGTGTCCCTCAGCCCAGCCTGTACCCTCTTCAGTCTGGCCCCCCTTAAGGAATGTCTGACTATCTCATAATCCTGGACTGCTGGCACCCGACTGTTCGCCTGCCTGCCTTCCTGATTGCTCCTAATCGCTTCTGCCCGCCAGCCTGATCACTCCCTAATCACTTTCCTGCCAGCCTGATTAATGCCTAACTGCTCTCCTGCCAGCCTGATTGCCCTACAACTGCTCTCCCCTGCAGGCCTGGTCACCCCTAACTGCCCTCCCTTGCAGGCCTGGTCCCTCCAAACTGCCCTCCCCTGCTGGCCTGATCACCCCAACTGCCCTCCCCTGCTGGCCATCTTGTGGTGGCCATCTTGTGTCCACATGGGGGCAGCCATCTTGTGTGTTGGAATGATGGTCAGTTTGCATATTACTCTTTTATTAGATGGGATAGAGGCCTGGTGCACGGTGGGGGCCGGCTGAAGGGTGTTCCAAATCAGGGTGTGGGTTCTCTTGGGGCATGGGGTGGCCTGGGTGAAGGGCCTGTGGTGGTTTGTAGGCCCACGGCAAATCATTCGGAGGCCCTGGTATCTGAGATATATTTATCTTGTATTATTGAGACTTTGTAGCCTTGAGCGGAGGCCAGGGGAGGCCAGGAATCTTGGCTTCCTCTATCGCCGGGCAAACCCAAGCCTTCTGCTTGCTCAGTGGCCGCAGCCATTTTTGTTGGGATTTATTTATCTTCTATAATTGAAACTTTGTAGCCTTGAGTGGAGGCCAAGGCCGGCCAGAGTGGGCAGGAAGCTTGGCTTCCTCCATTACCAGGGAAACCCAAACCTCCTGCTCGTTCTGTTCTGTGGCCACAGCCATCTTTGTTGGGTTAATTTGCATACTTCTGATTGGCTGATGAGTGTGGCTTGTGGACATAGCAGAGGTACGGTCATTTTGCATGTTTCTCTTTTATTAGTATAGATTCTTAAATTATACTAAGCAAAAGAAAAGAAAATGTAATTAAGAAAAACATAAGGAAGAGAAAACACATTTACAGTATTATACTGTATTTATATGGTCTGTCAGTACTGGCATTCATATGGTCCTACACAATATGAAACACTAAATAGTATGCATATTACTAGCACAAGACATCAAAAATGAAAAGATAATGTGAAAAAAATTGATATTTATTTATAGCTATAATGATTTATTCATTGGTAATGAAAAGGCAGCAATATGATTGCTTTACAGTAAGCTTAGTATAATCGACATATTTACTAAAAAGTCTGCTTTTAAGTGGACTGTTTCAGTTCATACCCGTGTTGTTCAAGAGTCAACTCTAATCTGAAATTGTTAGACTTCTACTATTCTTTTTTGCAAAATTCTTAGAAAGGGATGGATTCCTATGATATGGGATATCTTAAAATGATGGATCATTGTTTATATTGCACAGGGAGAAGCAAGTTCCGATGATAGAAATTATGTTTAAATTACTAGAACTTCTTTCCTTTTTTACAAATAAAAATAGTTGTTTTTTTATTTGTTTTTTTAAATATATTGTTTTTTTTACAGAGAGGAAGGGAGAGAGATAGTTAGAAACATTGATGAGAGAGTCATCAATCAGCTGCCTCTTGCACGCCCCTTACTGGGGATGTGCCCTCAACCAAGTTATATGTCCTTGACTGGAATCGAACCCAGGACCCTTCGGTCCGCAGGCCAACGTTTCTATCCACTGAGCCAAACCGGTTTCGGCATAAAAATAGTTTTTACCTGTAAAATAAGATTGGATGAGATCATTGCCTAAGGTCCCTCTTAAATCTAAAAGCTCAATTAATAAGTCAGGGTTTGTATGACCAAAAATAGAAATAAGAAATATCTCTACCGAAATAAGGAAGAGATGGTCTTTCAGGAAAAAAAATTAGTGGTTGATGGTAGATAGCTGAATGAAATTTGGGTTCTTTGGCCTGTTTACCTATTCTGGGATATAAGGAATGTGTTATTTCCTTTTTATGCTTATGGTGTGGCTTTCTCAAAATGTGGACCATATTCTACATTTTGGAGCATCCTTTAAAGTAAAGATTGGAAATCTTGGTTTTTAAAAACCTAGATAATTTTTACATACTCTAAACTTTCAGGACTATTGGTTGAGTGATTCTTTATAATTGACATGCAGGAACACACGGAAAATGACTTTAATTTTTCTGAAAACGAGGGCTTTTCAAGCCATTTGACATCCTAAAGATGTTTTGGAAGGTTATACACCAAACTGCAAATTGTTTTTTTTCTTGTGTGAGAATATAAGAGAAGTTTAACAACTATTTGTATTTGCAGTTCTTTTTTTTTTTTTTTTTTTTTTTTTTTTCCAAAATATATTTTATTGCTTTTTCACAGAGAGGAGGAGAGAGGGATAGAGAGTTAGAAACATCGATGAGAGAGAATCATCGATTAGCTGCCTCTTGCACACCCCCTACTGGGGATGTGCCCGCAACCACAGTACATGCCCTTGACCGGAATCGAACCTGGGACCTTTCAGTCTGCAGGCCGACACTCTACCGCTGAGCCAAACCAGTCCTGGCTATTTGCAGTTCTTTTTAAGTAATATATTTTCCCCCTCTAAAACTGGAAAAAAAGGGGGAATAAAATTCTAGAACTGAAATGAAGCTTAACTAAGAGGTAATATTTATTTAGTATTTAAATGCCTGGCACTGGGCAAAGTGCTTTCCCTACAATCTCTCACATTTAATTTCTGCAGTTGCTGAGGCACAGAGAGGTTAATTCGGTTGCCCAGGGTTGGAATTCTGAGTAACAGTCTGTCTGACTTGAGCTGGAGCATTTAATCTTTGTACTCTGCTTCCTTTACATTTAGGAAGATAGAAAAATAAAATTGTGTGTGATTTAATTCTCTTCTAAAAGAATTGTTTACATTTTTATGTGGAAAAATTTATAGATTTTAAACAAATCACAAATACAATCATCTTATTGTATTATACCCTTATAAATGTAAAATACTAATATATCTAGCTTAAATAAGCAGAAAAATACTTATTTGGTCAGTAGTATAATTTATTTATTTACTTTCTTGATTGACAAATGTAGATGCTCTACGTCCTACTAGTCATGCTCGTCCTCCTTCAACCAGTTTAATTTATGACTCAGACCTGGCTGTCTCATATACTGACCTCGATAATCTCTTCAATTCTGATGAAGATGAACTAACAGTGAGTATCGTGTTAATGATTAAGGTTATAAGTTTTTCCCCTTGATTTTATATAAAATTTTTTTCAGAAGTGATATGTGATTGAGTACTGTTTTAGCCCTTGAATGATAGGGAATACTTTATAATAAAATTTCATTAATTGGTTGTGTTTCTTTAGCTTCATGTTTGTGTTGTGTTGACATAGTGTCTGTCATGTACACACATTGTTTCTTTGTTTTGTATATTTGAAGGACTTGTATAATTAAACTTTATTTGAGCTCTGCCATATGTTCTTTTCCCGCAGTTCTTAGGAAATAGTATTGGATCCTCTAGTTCAGAAATGACCCCAGAATTGACTTGTTTAGAGAAGAAGTGATTAACATTAAAATTACATGCCTTGCCAATTTATTAAGGAATACTACTTCTTTAGAATTTGTTTGACAAAAATAGTCATTATTATAAAACAGCTAAATACTATAATAAAGAGGAAGAAAAAGTAACATTTAATCTTTAACACCCATTTGCAGAGAAAGGTGAAGATAAAGGAATTAAAGCTTAAAATGAGATTCCCTAGAATGTCAAGTCTCTGGCAAATTAATGAATTGGGTGCTGCATTATCATAAAAGGGAATTCCTTTTTCATCTGCATAAAGGTAGCTTGGAAACTTATATAGTACATTTGGTCTTTCTTGTCCTATATAATATATACTTTTAATCCTCTCTCATCATATACATACACACACATATCTGCACATTTGGTGTATTCAATTAAGTGACATAAGCCAGATATAGCTATATATAAACTTTTATTTTATATCCCATCATATAGTAAATTTAGGATACCATTTACTGGGTAAATATATCCCTAAACTTTTGATACTTTTATACTTTCTCTCTGCTACCATTCATGTATCAGCGTGGCTCTTTTGAGGTAAAAAGGTTGTAATCAGATATTAGTTTATGTGTTTTTGACAAAGTGGCTAACAAGAACCAAGTTATCAGCTCTAAAAAAATTTGATAGATTAGAGATACTGAACTTGGTTTGTTTTATATTATATAAAATGTATTAAAATTTATTTTTAGTTAGGGATCCTTTTGCTTTGTTATATGATATCTTCTGAAATTTGTGCTTAGTTTACCTGTTGTAGCATTTTTATTGGTACAGGGTTAAGGAGATTATTAAGGTAAAAGTGTAAACAAGAAATCAGAAGGAATATTGATTATGTAGGAAGCTAATGTCTTTAAGATGCTTTCTATCTTTTACTAAGAAGCAAATCTGATATTAATTACAACCCTTCTTATTTCAGGTTTTATTTTAATAGGTTTTAAGTTAAAGTTATTTTTGCTTCTAAGTGTTTTGAAAATATGGGTTATTTTTTTTTAATGAACTTTTTCCTCTGTTAATTTGGAAGTTTATGAAATCAATAGAGAAACTAATCTGAGTTTATTGATTGCCTAAAATGTGTTTTATGTTTTTAAATCATAGCTAGAATGTATCTGGTTCTAGCACAACTTCAAAATATGATTTTCATGAATGGACTCTTCTTTCAAGTCACATCCGAATGATTACTATCTTGAGATCCCATTGTATATAAAACTTGAAATAAATATAAATATGTAGGTGTTTTGTTTTTGTTTCCAATAGCCTGGATCTAAAAAATTGGCAAATGGATCAGATGATAAATCCAACTGCAAGGAATCAAAGACAGGAAATCTGGACCCGTTATCTTGCATAAGTAAGCTTCCCCATTCTGTGCTCCAGATAAATCTGCAAACTTTTAATGTCAACAAAATTCTCCACACCTTTCTTTTAAATAGATTAACCTCTTTAGAGTGTTATATTAAAATGTGTGTTTTATTAAATATAGGCACTGCAGATCTTCATAAAATGTATCCTACACCACCGTCATTGGAGCAACATATAATGGGATTTTCCCCAATGAATATGAATAATAAAGAATATGGTATTATGGATACAACACCTGGAGGAACTGTTGTAGAAGGAAATAGTTGTAGTACTGGAGCACAGTTCAAAATTGAGGTTGATGAAGGATTCTGTAGCCCCAAACCTTCTGAAATTAAAGTAAGTATTTTATTTTTCTAGAAAAATAATTTGCTTCTATATTTCCATATAGAATTAGTTTATAACTATATTCAAAATTCATTTCATACTGCCATTTGCAACAATATGAATTGGTCTTGAGGGTATTATTCTAAGCAAAATAATTCAGATGGAAAAAGACATACCATGTACTTCCCACTCGTGAAATATAAAACAAAAGGTAAAGTAACTAACAAAATAAATTCATAGATACAACAGATAGGTGGTTACCAGAGCAGAAGGGGTGTTGAGCGGGGAGGACGAATTGGGTAAAGAGGTCAAATATATGATAAAGGAAGGAAACTAGATTTTGGGCGGTGAACACACAGTACAGTATACAGATACTGAATTGCAATGTTGTACATGTGAAATGTATCTAATATTATTAACCAATATTCACTAAACTTAATTTAACAAATTTGATTCAAGTTTTGTAGTTAACAAATTTGAAGACTGAATTGTGACACTATTAAGTATGTACTTAAAACGGGGGTGGGGAAGTGAGGGAATAAGAGATCAACCAAAGGACTTGTATGCATGTATATGAGCATAACCAATGGACACAGACAGTTAGGGGGGTGAAGGCATGTGCTGGGGAGTGGGAGCAGCTGGGGAAGAGGTCAGTGGGGGAAGACAGAGACTCATGTAATACTTTAAACAATAAAGAATTTAAATTTAAACAATAAAGAATTTAAATTTCAAAAAAGAATGTATTTAAGATGCTCCACCCTCATGGGCATTGCTCAGTGGTTGAGTGTCAACTTATGAACCAAGAGGTCTTGGTTGATTCCCATTCAGGGCACATGGCCAGGTGTGAGCATGATCCCCAGTGGGGGGGGGGGGTGCAAGAGGCAGCTGATCAGTGATTCTCTCATCATTGATGTTTCCATCTCTCCCTCTCCCTTTCTCTCTAAAATAAGTAAAAATATAATTTTTAAAAAGAAAAGAATGTATTTAGGAAAAAAATAGAATTGCCTTCGCTTAGGTAGTTCAGTTGATTTGAGTGTTGTTTTAATATGGCAATGTTGTGAATTCGATTCCCAATCAGGTCACATACAAGATGAGTCACTGAATGCATAAATGAATGGAACAACAAATCTTCCCTCCCTTCTCCCCCTATCCTTTCTCTCTTTAAAAAATAAAAATAAAAAAATAAATTATATTTACATTTTATTATTTTGTTTCAAGAAAGGAAAAAAAATGGCTATAATCAGTTTGCTTTCCCCCCCCATGGAAGATAAGGTTCTGAATGTCATGGTCTTTATATTGTAGGATTTTTCTTATGTCTACAAGCCTGAAAATTGTCAAGTTCTAGTGGGATGTTCCATGTTTGCACCTTTAAAAACTCTACCAAGCCAATGCCTGCCTCCTATTAAATTGCCAGAAGAGTGTATTTACCGTCAGAGTTGGACTGTTGGAAAACTGGAATTGCTTCCTTCAGGGCCTGCAATGCCATTCATCAAAGACAGGTATGGTTTAGATTTATGTTATTGGTACAGTATATGAATATTTATTTAGCTTTAATGTTTTTTAATTATGCTGGTTCCTGGAAAAAATATACTGGTTTTTGAAAATTCTAAAAGTTATTTTCTGATTAATAAATTATAATGGTACTAGAGGCCTGGTGCACAAATTCATGCACCAGTGGGGTCCCTCAGCCTTGCCCTTGAGATGGGGCCAAAAGTGGCTCTCCAACATCCCCTGAGGGGTCCTGCATTGTGAGAGGGCGCAGGCCAGGCCAAGGGACCCCACCAGTGCACAATGAGGGATAGGGAGGGACACAAGAGGCTGGCCAGCTGAGGAAGGACTATGGGAGGGCTCCTGGGTGTGTCCAGCTCATCTTGCTCAGTCCCAATTAGGCAGACTCCAGCAGCAACCTAACCTACTGGTCAGAGTGCCTATCCCCTGGTGGTCAGTGCCCGTCATAGCAAGCAGTTGAATGGCCTTAGCATATCATTAACATATAACTCTTTGGTTGATTGAACAGATGACCAAACACTTAGCATATTAGGTTTTTATTGTATTGTAAGGATTAGCTGGACATGGATAAACTATTAGAAAACTTAAAACTGTTGTGCTTTGATTCTTTGTCTTAAAAGCTTTTTTTTTTTTTTCTATTTTGGTCTAAAATTATCATATTTCACACAGTTTTCTAATTTATTTTTTTTTTTTTTTTTTTTTTTTTTTTTTTTTTTTTTTTTTTTTTTTTTTTTTTTCTCTGTGACTTTCCTTTTATTGGGACTTAGGGGGTGGGTAACTTGGTGGTTATACCCCACCAGGGTACTGTCCATTCTAATCCTCCTGGGCCAGCTTTAGCTTTTTCTTTTTCTTTGAGGTCTTGTTGCTAACAGCCTCTTCAGGTCCACTGCTGAGAGGTTCCTCCTTCAAAGAGAGTTTCCTCTTTTTCTTGAGAACACTCCTGTTTGCTGCCTCTTCGGGTTCACTAACGGGTTCTGGTTTGGTTAAAGATTTCTTCCTCTTGGGAAGATTTCCATTGGTAGCTGTCTCAAGATCATTATTAACTAACTCCTCCATGGGCAAAGATTTCCTTTTCTTGGGTTTGGGTGAAGAAACAGGTGGGTCTTCTGTTCCATTCTCCTGGAGCTTTTGCTTTTTCTTCTTTTTAGGTTTTTCATTTAGTTCCTCACACTCCTCTTGTGTACTGCTGCTGTTTTCTGGAGATGCAAGGGCGATTGCAGCCAGCCGTTTCTTTTCCTTCTTCAAGCGTTTCTTCTCCTGTTTCTCCAGCTTCCTAGTAATCTCAGCAGCCGCTTCCTCTGTACCATTGCCTCCTTCATGACCTCCAGATTCTTTCGTGGAATCACGCCAGTCTCATAGAAGGATAGCCGCTCTTCCACTTGTTCTCGAAGCTTCTCCCCAAATACATTTGTGGGTACCTCAGAGAAGCAATCAATTCGCGAGGCAATACTGCATTTGTTTGCCAGGTATCGGGAGATGCGGCCTTTGTTCTTGGCAGCTGCTCGGCCAATGAAGGTGGAGTGGAATATGAGTCCATATTTTGGGGTGTTACCCCTTGTCTTCAGGGCTCTGGAAACTCGGTCCCTTTGCTGGGCCCTGGGAATCACTCAGACACCAGGACAGGCCACAGTTTTCTAATTTAAAGTCTGTGAAATTGAGTTATATTTGGTATTATCTTAAAATTGCTGTAGACCCTTTCCACAGACATCTCTAAAATTAGGATTTTACTTTACAATCAGTGGCATCTTAGAATTCATGAAATATGGATATTTGTAGTATAAGAAATATATAGGTGTCAATAGGTGCATACAGATTTTATTTTTAATTTTGGAATTGGTTGGTTGGTCCTCAGCCCACAATAATCTCCTAGAGTGAATATATTAACCAGAAATACAGTTTAAAAATATATATATATTTTATTGATTTTTTTACAGAGAGGAGGAGAGAGGGATAGAGAGCTAGAAACGTCGATGAGAGAGAAACATCTACCAGCTGCCTCTTGCACACCCCCGACTGGAGATGTGCCCGCAACCAATGTACATGCCTTTGACCGGAATCAAACCTGGGACCTTTCAATCCGTAGATCTACGCTCTACCACTGAGCCAAACCGGTTTTGGCCAGAAATACATTTTAATTGTACTTGAAATTTTAGCACTAATTGTATTTTTATAATTTTCACTGTTAATGAAAAACATTTGGGATATTTTTAGTTTTCACATTACTAATATGTTCCTTTATGTTTGATTTTCATTTACCCTGGTGATGCTAGTGACGGAAGTACAGTGGATCAAGAATATGGCCCTGCTTATACACCTCAAACTCATACTTCTTTTGGAATGCCTCCTAGCAGCGCACCTCCTAGCAACAGTGGAGCAGGAATTCTTCCTTCTCCATCTACCCCTAGGTTTCCAACTCCAAGGACTCCCAGGACTCCCAGGACTCCTCGTGGAGCTGGTGGACCTGCTAGTGCCCAAGGTTCAGTCAAATATGAAAATTCAGACTTGTATTCACCAGCTTCCACCCCATCTACATGCAGACCCCTGAATTCTGTTGAACCTGCAACTGTTCCTTCCATCCCAGAGGCACACAGTCTTTATGTAAACCTCATTCTTTCAGAATCAGTTATGAATTTGTTTAGAGACTGTAACTTTGATAGTTGCTGTATCTGTGTCTGCAACATGAATATCAAGGGTGCCGATGTTGGAGTTTACATTCCAGATCCAACGCAGGAAGCACAGTATAGGTGTACCTGTGGCTTCAGTGCTGTCATGAACAGAAAATTTGGAAACAATTCAGGATTATTTCTTGAAGATGAACTAGATATCATAGGACGCAACACAGAATGTGGCAAAGAAGCAGAAAAACGTTTTGAAGCTCTCAGGACTACTGAACATGTCAATGGAGGACTAAAGGAATCTGAAAAATTGCCTGATGAGTTGATATTATTGTTACAAGATCAGTGCACTAATTTATTTTCACCCTTTGGAGCAGCAGACAAAGATCCTTTTCCTAAAATTGGTGTAGTTAGCAATTGGGTACGTGTTGAAGAGCGGGACTATTGCAATGATTGCTACCTTGCATTAGAACATGGGCGTCAGTTCATGGATAACATGTCAGGAGGAAAAGTTGATGAAGTGCTTGTGAAAAGTTCATGCCTACACCCCTGGTCCAAAAGAAATGGTGAGTATGCTAATTGAACAATTTTTGTTTGTTTTTCTTTGGATGTATGACTTGGCTTTTCTTTCGTAAGAGAAAGTATTAAAGGCATTTTTTAAGTAGCCAACAGAGACACTTAAATTTGGACTTAAAACTCCTTTAAGAATGACGTTTTCAAAGGAAGAATCTCCTAGCAGTTTAGTTTAATTTCAAAATAAAAGTAGGGTTATTATAAATCTGTAATTATGTATTTATGTAGATGTATAAAAGGTACTTTGCACATGTTAGTTAGCAGAAAGTTGCTAGATGTCTGCATTATTTAATATTACTCATTACTTATTGAGCATCTAGTATGTGCTCAGCCTGTTTTATAAAGTAGTGTTGAACAAACATATTTTCTAACTTTTTTGAGCCTATAATTTAGTGAAGAATACAAAAATAGAAAAGTAATTATATAATATCATAGTGACAAGTGCTTTGAAGAAAAAGCTGGTAGAGGAGTAGAAAAAGACAGAGTATGACATTTATTACTTTTTTATCCTCAGCGGAGGATATGACTTTTTTTGTGTGTGTGTGTGTGTGTGTGTGTGTGTGTGTGTGTGTGTGTGTGTGAGAGAGAGAGAGAGAGAGAGAGAGAGAGAGAGAGAAAGAGAGAGAGAGAGAAACATCAACCCTTTGCCTCCTGTACACACCCCAACTGAGGATGGAACCCACAACTAGGTATGTACCCTGATGGTAAATCGAACCCACACCTTTTGGTGTACAGAACAACACTCCCACCCAGACAGGGAAAGAGTGTGACATTTTAGATGTTTGGGTAAGAGAAGATATTAGGAGGGACAACATTTGAACAAAGACTTACATAAAGTAGTAGGGGTTAAAACTATGTGGCTAACCGAGGGGAGTGCGTTTCAGGCAGTAAAATAAACCCTGAGTGAGCAGTATGCTTAGTGTGTTTGAGGAACAATAAGGAATCTGTGTTGCTGGGATGAATTTTGGGTGATGAGGAGATTGGTAGAAGATGAAGTTTAAGAGTTGGCCAATACCCTAGCTGGTGTTTATCAGTGCTTAGAGCAGGGGTCACCAACCAGTGGTTCGCTGACCACTGGTGGTCTGTGAGGTCTGAAAGGTTGGTGACTGCTGGCTTAGAGCATCAGCTTATGCACCCAAAGGTCGTGGGCATGCAGGAGGCAGCTGATTGATGATTCTCTCTCATCATTGATGATTCTGTCTCTTTCTCTACCTCACTTTCTCTGAAATGAATAAAAAACTTAAAAAACAAATGCATGATGGGAAGTTATAGGACAACTAGAGGCCCAGTGCATGAAATTCATGCATCGGGGTTAGGGGGTACCCCTCAGCCTGCACCCTCTCCAATCTGGGACTTCTTGAGAGATGTCCGATTGCCATTTAGGCAGTCGGACATCTCTCTCACAATCCAGGACTGCTGGCTCCCAACTGCTTGCCTGCCTGCCTTCATGATTGCCCCTAACCACTTCTGCCTCATCATCCCCTAACCACTCCCCTGACAGCCTGATTGATGCCTAACTGCTCCCCTGCCAGCCTGATCACCCCTAACTGCCTTCCCCTGCAGGCCTGGTCCTCTTCCCCCCTCCCCCAAACTGCTCTCCCTTGTAGGCCTGGGTTCCCCCCAACTGCCCTTTCCTGCAGGCCCGGTCATCCCCAACTTCCCTCCTCTGCCGGCCTGGTCATCCCTAACTGCCCTCCCCTGCAGACTTGATCGCCCCCAACTGCCCTCCTGGTTCCTCCCAACTGCCCTCCCCTGCTGGCCATCTTGTGTCCACATGGAGGCAACCATCTTTGACCACAAGGGGGCAGCCATCTAGTGTGTTAGAGTGATGTTCAATTTGCATATTACTCTCTTATTAGGATTTTGAGTAGAAAAGTAACATGATCCTTTTTCTGTTTGCTATTGTGTTATGGATGGTGAAGACGAGAGTTGTTAGGTATAGAAATGCAGCAGTTCTTTTGTATATTGATTTTGTACCTTGCACTTTTACTTATTTCTAATGTGTTTTGTGTGTGTGTGTGTGTGTGTGTGTGTGTGTGTGTGTGTAGTCTTTAGTATAAAATTATTTCAAGCAGAATTCTTACTTACTTTTTTTAATGGTTATAGATGTGAGTATGCAGTGCTCACAGGATATACTTCGAATGCTCCTCTCTCTTCACCCTGTCCTTCAGGATGCTATTCAGAAAAAAAGAACAGTGAGGCCTTGGGGGGTTCAAGGTCCTCTCACTTGGCAACAGTTTCATAAGATGGCTGGCCGAGGCTCTTATGGTAAGTAATGTATAGTATGAATATGGACTACTTTTATTTCAGTTCTCAGTTTCTATGCCCAATTAGAATAAGCACAGTTGGTTCCCTTAAATATTTTTGTGGCATATGTTTGACGTAAGGCAGTGTGGGTCAATCTTAGCCTTTCGTACTTTGAACGTTTACAGCATTCAGTGTACTGGTACATCAGACATAACAGTTTCACTTAGATCTGTTTTTACTTGAGACTTACCAGTACAATTTTATGTGTAGAAAGAATCATATTGCCAATTTTTAAAAAAAGATTGAGCATCACTTTTGTTGTAAACCTTTATTTTATAAAATTGAATTGAAAAAATGGGTAAAAAGGAGCAAGTAATTAATATTAGTGATAAAGGTTCTCAAGGTCTCATTTAAAAAAAAAAAAAAGACAAATTTCCTAGCTGTGATAAGAGTAGCAAATGAACACTCCCAATATGGTACTTGCACTGTAGATTTCTGGTTAACTGTAATAAAAAAGAACATTAAAAATTGTTTGAATTGCCAAAGCCGGTTTGGCTCAGTGGTTGAGCGTCGGTCTGCGGACTGAAAGGTCTCAGGTTCGATTCCGGTCAGGGGCATGTACATTGCTTGTGGGCACATTCCCGGTAGGGGGTGTGCAAGAGTCAGCTGGTCAATGTTTCTCTCTCATTGAGGTTTCTAGCTCTCTATCTCCCTCCCTTCCTCTGTGTAAAAAAATCAATAAAAATACTATATATTTTTAAAAAATTGTTTGAATTGCCCAAGCTAGTTTGGCTCAGTGGATAAACTATTGGCTGTGGACTCAAGGTTCTCAGGTTCGATTTCAGACAAGGACACATGATCTGGTTGCAGGCTCAATCCCCAGTAGGGGACATGCAGGATACAGCTGATCCATTTCTCTCTTATCATTGATGTTCTATCTATCTCTCACTCTCCTTTCTTCTGAAATAAATAAAAATATATTTTTAAAAAATTTGTTTGAAGTATTGTTTGAAGGTTGGCTCTAAATAATGGGATATAATTGGAGCTTTTAAAATATATCTGGAATAATAGTTCTTAACATTGAAATCTCTGACTTTTGTGCATGGTTTTAGAATGCATTATATATATATATATGCAAAATTAGTTGATTTTCTCATATTTTTTTCTTCTTTTGTTAATGACTGAATAGTTTCGATCCCATACATAACTTTACATACAGTGAAAAGTTGAGGTTATTTATATATTTTTACTTTTTTTTTTCTTTATGTATTCTTATTGATTTCAGAGAGAAAGGGATAGGGAGCGAGAGAAAGAGAGAGAAACATCAGTGATGAGCCCAGCTGGTGTGTGGCTCAGTGTTTGAGCTTCAACCTATGAAATAGGAGGTCATGGTTCAGTTCCCAATCAGGGCACATGCCCGGGTTGTGGGCTCAATCCAGAGTGTGAGGTGTGCAGGAGGCAGTCAATCAATGATCTCTCTATCATTGATATTTCTGTTTCTGTCTCCCTCTCTCTTTCTCTGTGAAATCAATAGAAATATATTTTATAAAACATCACCAAAATAGTAGACACACACATAACACAATACTCCAGTTTTTATTTTACATACAGAGGTTTTTCTTGTTTTAATGGCTGCATGGATTCTGTTCTTTCCACATGATATTATCTTGTGGAAAGATACTGCTTATGGACACACTAGAGGCCTGGTGCACAAAATTTATGCATGGGTAGGGTCCCTAGGACTGGCCGGCAATCAGGGCCTATCAGGACTTTTCGGCTTCTGGCCTTCCTTCATTCCATGCCAATCCCTGGTGGTCAGCACACATCATAGCAAGTGATTAAACTCCGGTCGAACTTCTGAGGGGATACTTTGCACATATATACACACACACATACATACACACACACACACACACACACACACACACATACTCATGTGCAAAGGTTCAGCCCTTGCTGCCACCATGGCTGCCTGGCTTCCTAGGATTTGTCCAGAAGGCCATCTGGAAGGGCATCCTGTCTAATTAGCATATTATACTTTTATTATTAAAGATGAAGAGATGGTTCCCATCATTATTTTTTTTAAATATATATATATTTTTATTGATTTCAGAGAGGAAAGGAGAGGGACAGAGAGTTAAAAACATCAAAGATGAAAGAGAATCATTGATCAGCTGCTTCCTGCATGCCTCTCTCTGGGGATCCAGCCTCCAACCTGGGCATGTGCCCTTTCTGGGAATCAAACCATGACCTCCTGGTTCATAGGTTGACATTCAACCACTGAGCCATGCTGGCTTGGCCGTTTCCATCATTATTATTACAACTATTTTTCTAGAATTCAAACATGTCTGGCTTTTAAAGCATGTGTGTATATATTTTTAAAATATTGCAAAGTACTCTTTATAATACCAGTAAAATGTCTGTTCCCCAAACCTTTACCAGTAGGGTGCTAAGTAGATGGGTGAAAATGGTTGTTTCATTATAGTTTAGAGGTAGAATAGTATAGACTGTGAGGAAAGATTTCCTGGTTTCTAATCTCACTTCTGCCACTCCTTGTATGTTAGGCTTTGATTAAAGAAAGTTGCTTAATTTTTCTATTCCTGCTTTTTCATCTTTAAAATTAGATTAATATTAGTATCAGCCTTGTATAGTTTTTGTGAAAGCTAAATGAGTTCATTTAAAAAAAAAAAAAAGATCTTTGAGCAGTACCAAACACATAGTGTTATATTTTAATTTCTTTGTCATGAGAATGAGCATCTTTTTATGTGCAAGAGATATTTCTATTGCTGTGAACTTTGTTCATATACTGTATCCACTTTTCTATGAGGTTTCTGGTCATTTTCTTATGGATTTATATAGTTCCCTTTTAAATGGTAAGGATAGTAACTCTTTTTTCATATACATTGCAAACCATTCTTCCAACTTGTGGCTAATCATTTGGCTTTATTGTGTTGTTGTTTTTTTAATACCAAAGTTTAAAATTTAATATAGTAAGATTAATTGGTTTTTAAATGGATAGGTTTTATGTTATGCTTAGAAAGGCTTTTCCTAGTCCAGATTTAAAAATAAAACTCTCTTCCCATGTTTTCTTTTATACTTCTAAGTTTTTTATTTCAGATTAATTTTTTTTTGCATTTAAATTAAGGTATAAGTCTTTCTTTTTTCATATGTTCTTTTTAAAGACCATTTTAGCAAATTCTTAACTGTGGAAAAGCCTCAATCACTGGCTTTAAGTATTTTTGTCTTTAATAAAATATTTTTACTACTAATAATGACTTAGTACTTTCAACATTTCAATAAAAGACATACTACTTTTAAATGTTTTCTTCAAATATATTTTTCTTATTTAGGAACTGATGAATCTCCAGAACCACTGCCAATCCCCACGTTTTTGTTGAGTTATGATTATGATTTTCTGGTGCTTTCTCCATTTGCTCTTCCTTACTGGGAGAGACTTATGCTGGAACCCTATGGATCTCAAAGAGATATAGCTTATGTTGTACTATGTCCAGAAAATGAAGCTTTGTTAAATGGAGCCAAAAGTTTTTTTAGGGATCTTACTGCAATATATGAGGTAGGTGTTTTAAAAAATGTGGCATTTTTAAACTGCCTTATTATTTGTATGTTTAGACATAAATTATACTGGGCAATTCAGTTGAATGGGACAGAATAGTAATGATGTCAAGTTCTTTGATGTCATTTACTTCTCATACTAACCAGTTACGTTCTTACAGGATTTGACCTACACCCTTAGTTAGATGTGTGTGCCATGGGTAATAGTGGAAATTGCCTTATTGGGGGAAAAATTGAGAGTATATATGGTCTCATTTAAGAAAATATTTTTTGCCCTAGCTAGTTCATTGGATAGAGCGTCAGCCCAAGGACTAAAGGGTCCTGGTTTCGATTCTGGTTAAGAGCATATACCTCGGTTGCAGACTTTATCCCTAGCCCTGGTCGGGGCATGTGCAGGAGGGAACCAGTTGATGTGTCTTTCTCTCACATTGATGGTTCTCTCTCTGTACCTCTCCCTTTCCCTTCTACTCTCTAAAAATCAACAAAAAAAGAGAGAATATTTTTCTAAAGCAAAGGGCAGCATGGTTGAATAGCCAAGGAAAATTACACTTACAAAAATTCTAGTCTTAATTCTCTAGGATCTCAGGTGCTAACACTATGCCTCACTTTCCTCATACATAAAATAAAGTTATGCTAGATCTTTGTAAGATCTATTTCATTATTGAAATTCTTGACTAATTTTTTAAGTTATAAGTCTCATATTATGTCCTTTACTGAATGCAATGATTGCAAATTTAAAATGCTGTGGAACATAAAGTCTTAAATTCATTACACCTTCCTTTTCCCATAAATGCTTGGAAATCCAGTTTTTAAATTTTTTTTTTTTTATAATTGTTAGTTTGTGCTGGCTTAACTTCTTATAAAAGTTCCACTTAATTATATGTTGTGTGTTTTGTAGAAATAAGTATTGTCCAAAGAGTGTTGTATAGAACACTAGTCCTGCAAAATCTTTCCAGAGGAAAGTTCCACAATTATATAGGTTTGAGAAGACATTGTGTATTATATTACCATATAAAGACTCACTATTCATATTAGATTTTTTTGAGCCATTGAAAGGCTTATAGTAAGGAAATCCTATCTAGATTTTCTTTTTTTTTTTAAAGTATATTTTTATTGATTTCAGAGAGGAAGGGAGAGGGAAAGAGAAATAGAAACATGAATGATGAGAGAGAATCATTGATCAGCTGCTCCCTGCACGCCCCCTACTCAGGATTAAGTCCATAACCCGGTCATGTGCCCTTGACCAGTATCAAACCCAGGACCCTTCAGTCTGCAGATGGACGCTCTATCCACTGAGCAAAACCAGCTAGGGCTAAATTTTCTTAGTCAAGTATGGCAAACTTACTTGATAGTAGGCTTCTTACAACAGACATCAGTAGCCCACAGAATTGGACGGAGAGCTGGCAAATTCATAGTGTAGTTGTATACTAATTTTTATTTTGTGTTTGCTTAATTTAAGAATATATGTATTTATATAGATGAATTGGGATAGATTCACAGCTTAAAATTTATGTTCACTTATTTCTGTACTCAAGTTTTCATTACTCAGGGCATAAAGTTATAGTGCCATTATTGTTATCTAGTTGTTTAATTTCATTTGAGATGTTTTAATTTTATAAGAAATGTAATGGATTTCTACTGTACAAAAGAAAAAGATCTATGGCACCATTTTACCCTTGATATGCTTATCCCAAATGTTAAGTATAAGGGATAGTGTATTTTAAATATCTGAAATGCTTTATTTTATAATATGTACTTAAATACTATGATAATTTCACTAATTCTGCTTTCTGCATGTATATTTGTAGTCCTGTCGATTAGGTCAACATAGACCTATTTCTCGACTGTTGGCAGATGGGATCATGAGAGTTGGATCTACTGCATCAAAGAAACTATCAGAAAAGTTGGTAGCAGAATGGTTTTCTCAGACAGCTGATGGTAACAATGAAGCATTTTCTAAACTCAAGCTTTATGCACAAGTCTGCAGATATGACCTAGGTATTGAAATTGAATTTATTATATAAGGCCAGTGTTAGAATGTATGGCCCAGTCCTCCAGCTGTTTTTGTAAATAAAATTTTATTGAAACACAACCATGCTCATTTATTTACATATTGCCTAGGCCTGCTTTTGTGCTACAAGATCAGATCTGAGTAGTTTTGACAGAGACTGACCCGAAAAGCCTAAAATAACTACCACCTGACCCTTTATAGAAAAAGTTTAATGAACCCTGTACTAGGGATCTTATCAGGTAGAAGGAAATTGTGGATTATAAGCAATTTTTTGTTGCTTCTGTAGGATCTGATGAATTTGTTTTTATTTAAGTTTATTAACATTAAGACTATTTTTAACATTAAGATTCTTGATTTGTGCTGAAACCGGTTTGGCTCAATGGTAGAGCATCGGTCTGCGGACTGAAAGGTCCCGGGTTCGATTCCGGTCAAGGGCATGTACGTTGGTTGCGGGCACATCCCCAGTAGGGGATGTGCTAGAGGCAGCTGGTCGATGTTTCTCTCTCATCGACGTTTCTAGCTCTCTATCTCTCCCTTCCTCTCTGTAAAAAATCAATAAAGATATATTTAAAAAGAAAAAAGATTCTTGATTTGTTAATGGTTTAGAGATCAAATAACTTGTAATTTCCTCTACAACACAATAAAACAGTTCTTTGTTGGAACTAAGAAAATGATAGCTGTTTAAGACGAAGACTTGCTTCTTTTAACACTTTAATTAAATACCATCGGACTTAATTTAGACTTAATCCAAAGATTAAATAGATTTAACCAAAATATTGAATCTCATTAGATATTCCTATAATTTGAACCTCATGATAACATTTCTCCTTTTTATATCTAATTAGCTCCTTATGTAGTCAGTATTCATTTAACTTGTGATTTAGGAACCCTTTGAATGGCTTAATAAAAATTTGCTAGATACTGTTATTTATATTTAATTATGCCTGGAAATAGAATTTTATTATACTTTCATAGAATCCATTTCTTTATTTTATATGAAAATGCTGGTTTATCCTTTTCAATTCCATTTAAATTATGTTTCTTCAGTTTGTAGGAAAATAGAAAGCTATATATGCTACATTCTTAGCAAGCAACTTAGGAAGGGTAATTACCAAAAAAGCATCAGTTAGATTTTATTCACATAGTTTAATAAATAAAGAACCAGTCAGTGAAATAAAGAATTAAATACCCTACCTGTTTTTATTATCTTTAGGTCCTTATCTTGCTTCCCAGCCATTGGACAGCTCTCTACTTTCCCAGCCAAATTTAGTTGCCCCTACAAGTCAATCTTTGATTACTCCACCTCAGATGACAAATACTGGAAATGCTAATACTCCATCTGCCACCCTAGCATCTGCAGCGAGCAGCACTATGACAGTGACTTCAGGTGTTACCATGTCTTCTTCAGTTGCCACAGCTAATTCAACTTTGACCACAACTTCAACTTCATCTTCATCATCCTCCAACTTGAATAGTGGAGTATCAAATAAACTAGCTTCGTTTCCACCCTTTGGCAGTTTGAACAGTAGTGCTACAGGATCCATGTCTACACAAGCGAGTACAGTTCAGAATGGCCAGCTAGGAGGGCAACAGTCATCAGCTCTACAAACCGCTGGGATTTCTGGAGAATCATCTTCTCTTCCCCCTCAGCCACATCCTGATGTATCTGAAAGGTACTTTTAAATGTACTAATTTTGCAGAAATATAAATATATGATGCTTCTTTTTGTCTGAATAACACAGTAATTATGAATGAACAAAGAGTTTTTTGGTCTTATAAGTGAAATTGTAGTTGTATAATATTCAGTATTTTACTTATAAAATTATAATGAAGACTCTTCATAACATCTTTTAAAAAATTAGCAGGCTTACCCAGCTGGTGTGGTTCAGTGGTTGAGTGTTGACCTATGAACCAGACCAAATGATTTCTCAGGACTTTTATGGCCTGCAGGCTGGCCATTCCCACCCCTGCTCTATAGATTTAAATAATTCTTTTCTAATGCAAGATCTCAATACAAAGATCTTCGTACACCATGAAATTGTATATATGTTGTTTATAGTTCCCTTTGAAGAGAAAGAGATGTCCTTCAATTTAAAAACTTCTTTTAATGCTTCCCCAAGAAAGGAATAGTACAACTTTTTTCCTAACTGTCATTTCTACCTTGAATTTTAGCACGATGGATCGGGATAAAGTGGGTATCCCCACAGATGGTGACTCACATGCAATCACTTATCCACCTGCAATTGTCGTTTATATAATTGATCCTTTTACATATGAAAATAAAGATGAGAGCGCTAATTCTTCTAATGTATGGACTTTGGGGCTACTTCGATGCTTTCTGGAAATGGTCCAGACTCTTCCTCCTCATATTAAGAGTACTGTTTCTGTACAGGTAAGAATGATAAATGTTGCAGATAAAATTTATATAAAACCATTGGATGTTGATAGACATTTCAAAGATACTAGTCTGTGATTTTGTAAAAGCCAGGTTCTATTATGTAGATTTTACTTTAAGTGATAGTATACTAGAAATCTTAGAGAGACAGACTTTGCAATTGTGTCATAATAATAATGGAAAATAAAAGGAAGCACAGTAATAATGGAAAATAAAGATTGCACAAAGTACATTGAATATTTCTCTTATGTTACTTTTTTTTTTAATATATATTATTGATTTTTTTACAGAGAGGAAGGTAGAGGGATAGAGAGTTAGAAACATCTATGAGAGAGAGACATCGATCAGCTGCCTCTTGCACACCCCCTACTGGGGATGTGCCGGCAACCAAGGTACATGCCCTTGACCGGAATCGAACCCAGGACCTTTCAGTTCTCAGGCAGACACTCTATCCACTGAGCCAAATCGGTTTAGGCTCTTATGTTACTTTTATAAACCAGTTTTTAAGTTCATAAACTTAAGTAAAACATTAAAGTATGGATCTATATATGCTAGAATTCTAAATAAAGCAGGTTGCAAGTAAAACTAGAAAGAATTTAACCATATTAAGTTATTTACAGAAATTTGAATTATTTATAGGCTACAACAGGACCAGTCAATGGCAATATCAAAACTGATATGCAGAAATTTTTAAAGATTTTTACATAGCCCGTTGGTAAAGTTGGCTATTAAAATCCTATAAAATAATTTAGTTTATCATTTTGATTTGCTTTGTTTAAATTTTCTATTAAAAAATTTAGAATTTTTAACTTATAGTCCTTTTTATTCTCTTGTGACTTGTTCAAAGTTTAATATTTGTAATATTTGCCTATAATTTCTAGATTGTTCCTTGTCAGTACCTGTTGCAACCTGTGAAGCATGAAGATAGACAAATCTATACCCAGCATTTAAAATCCCTAGCTTTTTCGGCCTTTACCCAGTGCCGGCGACCCCTTCCAACATCAACCAATGTGAAAACATTGACTGGGTTTGGACCAGGTTTAGCCATGGAAAATGCTCTTAAAAGTCCTGATGTAAGTATGCTTTTTATGACCAGTTATTAAAAACTATACATTTTATGATTTTATGCAAAATCAAGTGCAGTTCTGTATAGCTCCCATTTTCCAATTATAATTGGGAAAAGATAATATCACATTTTCAGTAAAAATCTTTTTAATAAAAGATTTTTCTGTGATTGTATAGTACCATAGTATCTTAATTTTTTGTTTTACAGAGACCAGAGTGTATTCGACTTTATACACCTCCTTTTATTCTGGCTCCAGTGAAGGATAAACAGACAGAGCTAGGAGAAACATTTGGAGAAGCTGGACAGAAATATAATGTTCTTTTCGTGGGGTACTGTTTATCACATGATCAAAGATGGATTCTTGCTTCTTGCACAGATCTATATGGAGAACTTTTAGAAACATGTATCATTAACATCGATGTTCCAAATAGGTACTTAAGTTTCTTTAAATATATCATTATATCATCCCATTTTTAAAAGTTCATACACACTTTTACTTTTATACTTAATGAATAGAAAACTGTTTTGTAGGTCATGTACATTAAAATATTAACTCTTGCCCTGCCAGTGGCTCAGTTGGTTAAGTGTTATCCCATGTACCAAGAGGTAGCTAGTTAGATTCCCAGTCAGGACACATGTCTTGGTTGCAGGCTTGATCCCTAGTAGGAGGCTTGCAGGAGGCAACCAATTGATGTTTCTCTCTCATTGATATATCTCTCTCTCTCCTTCTCCCTCTCCCTCTCCCTCCCCTCCCCTCTTCTCTCTCTGAAAATCAATAAAAAATATATATTTTATTGAGAAGAAGGGAGAAGGATAGTTAGAAACATAGATGAGAGAGAAACATCATCAGCTGCCTCCTGCACACCTCCTATTAGGAATGTGCCTGCAACCAAGGTACATGCAAATTACATCTTGGCCTGGCTAGGTAGATCAATTGGTTAGAGTATCATCCCAATATGCAAGGGTTGTGATTTGATTCCCAGTCAGGGCACATACAAGAAGCAAGTGGAACAAAAACTTGATGTTTCTCTCTAAAAAATAAATAAAAATCAAATAATAAAATATAATGTCTTGGGATTGTGGATTCTTACCCTTATATAGTGTATATTTACATTGTATAATTAAGAGAATTAAGAATAAATTTGATTAATCTGTTACATAGACAGATTAAGCTTCCTAGATTCTTTTTTTTTTTTTTAAATATGTTTTTTAATTGATTTCAGAGAGAAAGGGCAAGACAGAAACATCCATGATGAGAGAGAACCATTAATCAGCTGCCTCCTGCACGGCCCCCACTGGGGATCGAGCCCATATCCCATGCATGTGCCGTTGACCAGAATCGAACCTGGGACCCTTCAGTCCACAGGCCAGTGCTCTATCCACTGAGCCAAACTGGCTAGGGCAAGCTTCCTAAATTCTTTATAATAAAACTTGAAGTAATGATTTTAACCTGAAAAAAAATTGAGGCATGGAATTAGAAAGCTCTCCATAATAAAAAAAATTAAAAATTAAAAATTAAAAAAAAAGTGAAGCACCCTGGAAATTTATTTTTTCATGTACCATCCAAGATCCTAAGATATAATCCCTACATTAGTTGAGTTAACTTTTAAATTTCTTTACTTAAATTGTGGACTGAAATTTTTACCACTTAAATGTTAGAGTGTCTTCTGAAAATGGAGGCTTTCTTTTTAGAATTTTTCTTGGTAGTAATAAGATATGGCCATGCCAAAACTGGTTTGGCTCAGGGGTAGAGCGTCGGTCTGTGGACTGAAAGGTCCCAGGTTCGATTCCGGTCTAGGGCATGTACATTGGTTGCGGGCACATCCCCGGTAGGGGGTGTGTAAGAGGCAGCTGGTTGATGTTTCTCTCTCACTGACGTTTCTAGCTCTCTATCTCTCTCCTTTCCTATCTGTAAAAAATCAATAAAATATATTTAAAAAAAAAAAGATATGGCCATTTATTTATGAAGGCTGTAACTAATAGGTCACAATAGGTGAGCCTCATGTTGACTTGTCACTTAATAGATATTTCTAGTAACATGTTTCAAAGTTAGTGAACACTGCTTGGGAGTTCTTGAAAAGCAAATCCTTCCAATAATTGTTATTTTTAAGATTTGGTTCTATCCTTTATTTTCTCTATTATATAAAGATTCTGTTCCTTTAAGTTCAAAAATTGGTTATGTACATAAATATTTAATGATTCTTAGTTTATAGGAGTCAAATTTTATATTATTGGTTACAAAGATTTGTTGGTTATTGTATAAACCATAAAGCAATACTTTATACATTTCCTTGACACAATTATGTTTTTTTTAAATGGGATAGTTAATACTGATTAAATGAGCTTTGGAATGAGTATTCTTATCTGTGAAGGATAAGCATGGAATAGAGGAAGAATATTACCTTTCCAATACAATGATAGTGTTGCCATTTAACTGAAAGTAGAAGTTAGAGAAAAGAAAGAAGTGTACCTCTAGAGTCATAGACACCTGAGTTCAAATTCCAACTCTGCCACTTTATTATGTCATCTGGAGCCAGCCGAGCTACAGCTTACTTCTCTGGGAAGATACGTTTATGTGTTATATGGTTGTTAGGCTGAAAATGAGTATCCATGTAAAGTGGGTGTAATTCTTGGTACATAGTAAGTACTCAATAAATGGTAACTACTGTTGCTCATGTTATCAGCTTGCCTAAAAAGGACATGCATGCAGAAACTCAATAACATTGTTTGGTTTGAAAAATGTAGTGTTTTTTTTTCATATCCTTCAACTTAAAGTATAGAGCAAAGATTGACAAACTGTTTAACCTATGGGTCAAATCTGGCCATGCTCATTAATGTATTATCTGTGGCTGCTTTCATGCTGCAGAAGCAGCAGAGTTGAATTGTTATAACACAATCTTGATGGCCTACAAAACTAAAAACATTGGCTCTTTAAAGAAAAGTTTTGCCAATCTCTGGTATAGGGCAGTGTTTCTGGTGAATTTTGATGCTTATAGATAACTTTTCAGAGTTGTATATACTTTAATGTATGGTAAACAACAACAACAACAAGCACGCCACACCTATGATTCACATATGTTCTTGTTTAGGATTTGTATAAAAGTTTCAAAGCACTAAGGAACCAGTTTTTTGATTTTTTTCCTTCAAATTTGAGCTCTTTTGAAATGTCATATGTGTTTTATGCACATTTATGACTGTCTCTATTTTACACAATAGGGCTCGTAGGAAAAAAGCATCTGCTAGAAGATTTGGTCTACAGAAACTTTGGGAATGGTGCTTAGGACTTGTACAAATGAGTTCATTACCATGGAGAGTTGTAATTGGCCGACTAGGAAGGATTGGTCATGGAGAATTAAAAGGTAAAATTGTGCTTTTATATTTTAGTACTTAGATTTCTGTTTTATATTAATTCATACACTGTTCAGACCACATATAGGTATAATGTGTACTTGATAAAATGCATAGCTTATAAAAATGTTTTTTGTTATTGACTTTTGTTTTTAAAGAGGAACACCAGATGTCTCAACCACAAATGGCTTAATTCCAGATATAAAAGTATATTTTACAATATTACAACTTTAATATCATTGTCATTACTACTATTTTTATTTTTCCTTTTTTCATTATTCAACTTACCTTCTGTTCAGCAGATACTAATTGATATTGATGTACATTAAAGCTAAGGTGATAAAGAATGTTGAGCAATATCACGAGTAAGACAGTTTTGGCTTGATAATGACACTAATTTTAAAACCATTATGTTTATCCTAGCCAGTTTGGCTCAGTGGATTAAGTGTTGGCTTTCAGACTGAAGAATCCCAGGTTCGATTCTTTGCCAAGGGCATATGCCCGGATTGTGGGCTTTATCCCCAGTAAGGGGCAAGCAGGATGCAACTGATCGATGATTCTCTCTCATCTTTGATGTTTCTATCTCTCTCTCTCTCCCTCTCTCTCTGAATTAAATTTAAAAATGTATATATTTAAAAAAATAAAACCATTATGTTTTAACTTTGGTTCTGTATGGTGTTAATAATGGTGTTACTTTAGATTATTATTTTTATTGTTGATACCCACAGATTGGAGCTGTTTGCTGAGTCGTCGAAATTTGCAGTCTCTAAGTAAAAGACTCAAAGACATGTGTAGAATGTGTTGTATATCTGCTGCAGACTCTCCCAGCATTCTCAGTGCTTGCTTGGTAGCAATGGAACCCCAAGGCTCTTTTGTTATTATGCCAGGTTAGCAACTTTAGTTTATATCAGAATTAATTCTTTATGCTCTTAAGTTTTCAAACATTATGTAAAATTGATTCTTCACTTATTAAATGAAAAAATACCTTTCATTTCCTTTCCAGATTCTGTGTCAACTGGTTCTGTATTTGGAAGAAGCACCACTCTAAATATGCAGACGTCTCAGCTAAATACCCCACAGGATACATCATGTACTCATATACTTGTATTCCCTACTTCTGCTTCTGTGCAAGTAGCTTCAGCTACTTATACCACTGAAAATTTGGACTTAGCTTTCAATCCTAACAATGGTAGGAGAATTATTTTTAAAAGTTTTGCAAATATAAAAAGTCGTGATGATTGTTGCTGATTATAGGCTGATTAATGTTCCCAACACATATCTATATCTTATGAATGTCCCTTAAACCTGTAAATGTTTCAACAACAAAAAGGCTGCAGATGTGATTAAATTAAGGATCTTGAGTTGTAGAGATCCTGTGTTAGGGGTCGTTCCTAAATGCAATCACATGTATCCTTTTAAAATGGAAGTTTTACTATCCACAAAAGAGGGGAGGGCCAAGTGATGGCAAGAGAGGGAAGCAAAGTCACAGAAAAACAATGCTATAGTGCTGACTTTAAGGGGGAAGGAGCCATGAGCCAATGAAGACAGTTCTAGGTGCTGGAAAAGACAAACAGATCTCCCTCTGGATCCTCTAAAAGGAGCAGAGGCCCGCTGCTTCCTTGATTTTGGCCTAATGACCAACACTTTGATTTCAGCCCAATAAAACTGAATTTGAACTTCTGGACCCCAAACTATTAGAGAATAAATGTGTGATATTTTAAGTTAGCAGGTTTGTAATAATTTGTAAAAGCAGCAACAGCAAACTAATATATTCATTCTTCTATCTTATTGATGTCAGAACTGATGCTATGAATTATCTCATAAATATTTATTTTTAAAAGACAACATTGGTCATAAAATGTTTATAGTTTTTTGCCTATGCTGTTGAGTTATCTATATACACTTTGCAGCTCATATTATATTCTTTTTTATATTAATTTGCCAAAATAATATAGTGATTTATATAAACTGCAAGAGTAGGGATATATCTTTTCTCAATGAATTTATAGATTGCATTTTAGTAGAAGAAAAAAAATACACGATACTCCATTGTTGCTCTGATTTACCCTAGAAAAGGGCACATTTTTAAAGTCACAGTATAGGTATTAATTATTCTATTTTGTGTGTGTGTGTGTGTGTGTGTGTGTGCTTGTGTGTGCGCGCGTGCACGTGTGTATTATACAATAATTTGAATGTTTTGCTTAATAGTAAAGAATAATGAATAGTGTCATTTTAAATCTTAATTTTCAGCATATTGTATTTACTCTAAATTTCCTATTGCTGCTGTAACAAATTACCACATGCTTAGTGGCTTAAAATGACACACACTTATCTTACAATTTTGGAAGTCAGAAGTCCTACTGGACTCAAGTCAAAGACGTCTGCAGTGTTGGTTCTCTCTAGTGTCTCTAAGGGACAGTCTGTTTCCTTGTCTATGCCAGCTTTAAAGACCACTTGCATCTCTTGCTCATGGCCCTTATTTCCATCTTCAACACCAGCAGGATAATATCAACACATCTCCTTCATTGACTACCCCTAGTGCCTCCCTGTTATTAGGGTCCCTGTGATTACGAGGACCACCTAAATACACATGATTTACCTCCCCCTTTCAAGATCCTTAGCTGGATTGTATCTTGTGAAATGTTTTAAAAAATATATTTTTATCGGTTTCAGAGAGAGGGAGAGATAGAAATATCAGCGATGAGAAAAAATCATTGATCAGCTGCCTCCTACACACTTCCTACTGGGGATCGAGCATGAAACCCGGCATATACCCTGACCGGGAATTGAACCATGACCTCCTGATTCATGGGTTGAAGCTCAATCACTGAGCCCCGCCAGTGGGGCTGCATAATTATTATTTTTTTAAAATATATGTCTTAATTGATTTTTTTTACAGAGAGGAAGGGAGAGGAGAGCTAGAAACATGGATGAGAGAGAAACATTGACCAGCTGCCTCCTGCGCACCCCCTACCAGGGATGTGCCTGCAACCATTCATTGTACATGCCCTTGACCGGAATCGAACCTGGGACCTTTCAGTTCACAGATTGATGCTCTATTCCACTGAGCCAAACCAGTTTCGGCTGCATAATTATTTTTATGTATAATTATTTATATGGCTCTCAGCACAATAATTGACACATAGGAGGCACTCAGTAGATGTTGGTTAAATTGATTTTAACTCTCCTGTAAATAACCTTGAGATGAAAAATTGAATATTTAATATTTTTTCTTTCTCTTATAGCAGATGGAATGGGTCTCTTTGATTTGTTAGACACAGCAGACGATCTTGACCCTGATATCATTAATATTCTTCCTGCCTCTCCAACGGGGTCTCCTGTACATTCTCCAGGATCTCATTACCCCCATGGAGGTGATGCTGGAAAGGTAACCCCATTGTAAAAGTTCAGTTTATCCAAATGTTATTCATTAACTTAGTAATGAATGGATTCATGAAATAGAGGCCTGTTTTTTCCTTTTTTAATTTAGAAAATAGTGAAATTAACGGTACATTCTCTGAATTATTTCTCTTCTCTGAATTATACAATATTAAGGGGAGAGGGGTCTCTGTGGCTCTGCTTTTCCTGACTTTATATTTTTTAGCTACTTTGCATTAATCCTCCTTTTGTATTTTTCCTGCCAGTTCACCATAGCTTCTACTCAAGTCTAGGACTGGATTATCTGAGAATCAGTATTGTTCTTTGAGCTGATATTCATATCAGGGCTGTGACAAGCAACATAATAGAAATACTAATTTTTTCATAACAGAAAAAACACTGACTATCTTGCTTCCCAAACTCTGTTTATTTTTAGCAGACTATTTTCTCTTTCTGTTTGAGCTGAAAACTATTGGGCCTCGTTTGAATTACATCTTTTTTTTTTTAATATTTAATTTTAATTTTTAATTTAATTTTATTATTATTTTTTAATAAGTTTTTATTGTTCATATTATTACAAATGTTCCTTTCCCCCCCCCCCATCATTGCTCTCCTCCACCAGGTTCCCACCCCACCCTCTGCCCTTTCCCCACTCCCCATTGTCCTCATCCATAGGTGCACAGTTTATGTTCAGTCTCTTCCCACATCCCCCTCTCCCCTTTTCCCCAAGAATTGTCAGTTCACTCTCCTTCCATACCTCTGATTCTATTATATTCAACAGTTAATATTGTTCATCAGATTTTTTTTTAATTCCCTTGGTTTTTAGATTCACTTGTTGATAGTTATGTATTTGTTGTTCATAATTTTTATCCTTATCTTCTTCCTCTTCCTAAATAACCCCCTTCAGCAATTCATATAATTCTGGTTTGGTGGTGATGAATTCCTTTAGCTTTTTTTTTATTAGTGAAGCTCTTTATCTGACCTTTGATTCTGAGTGATAGCTTTGCTGGATAGATTATCTTTGGCTGTAGGTTCTTACTATTCATCACCTTGAATATTTCTTGCCATTCTTATCTGGCCTGCATGGTTTCTGTTGAGAAGTCAGCTGACAATCGTATAGGAGCTCCTTTATAGGTAATTACCTTCTTTGCTCTTGCTGCTTTTAATATTCTCTTTGTCTTTTGCTCTTGGAATTTTAATTATGATGTGTCTTGGTGTGGTCCTCTTTGGATTCCTTTTGTTTGGAGTTCTGTGTGCTTCCTAGACTTGTAAGTCTAATTCTTTCCCCAGGTGGGGGAAGTTTTCTGTCACTATTTCTTTCAGTATGTTTTCGATATCTTGCGCTCTCTCATCTTCTGGGGCCCCATAATTCTGATGTTGGTTCGCTTGAAGTTGTCCCAGAGGTTTCTTACATTATCTTCAATTTTCTGGATTCTCTTGCCTTCTAGCTTCTGTGGAGGAGTGTCTTCTGGCTCTTTATGTTCCAAATCTTTGACTTGATTCTTGCGATCTTCCATTCTGTTTTTAGGACTCTGTGTAATATTTTTTATTTCAGACAATGTATTCTTTATTTCTTGTTGATCCCTTATCATTTCTTGTTGACTCCTTATTAATTCTAGTTGATCTCTTTTTATATCCTCATAGGTCTTATCAACCTTTTCTAGGAAATTCTTGAAAAACCTTATAAGCATAGATTTGAACTCTATATCCAATCGCTTTTGTCCTCAATTTCTTTCATTTGTGATCTATTTCGTTGTCGCATTTCGCAGTTACAGATGGGATGGGATTTCAGGGTGGAGCCTACAGCCTTGACTTCCGTCAGCCCCGCCCTATGTGGCTCCTGAGTCTCAGGGTCCTTCAGTACTCGCTGCAAAGCGCCTCTGAGAGATAGGTGCCCTCGATTTTCGCCTGCTGCCAAACAGTCTATGTTCTCCCCCAATGAGCCTGGAACTGTTTTGACTGTTTTAGTATGTATATGTTTAGAACCTGCCTCTTAAAAATGAAGATCTTTGTCCAGTCTTACTTTGCATTCTTTCCTGCTTTTTTTAACTTGGGGGAAAAAAAATGAGATTATTAAAAAAAATTATATGAGATGCCGAAACCGGTTTGGCTCAATGGATAGAGCGTCGGCCTGCAGACTAAAGGTCCCAGGTTCTATTCCGGTCAAGGGCATGTACCTTGGTTGCGGGCACATCCCCAGTAGGAGTGGGAGGGTGCAAGAGGCAGCTGATTGATGATTCTCTCTCATCGATGTTTCTAGCTTAACTCAATAAAATATATTAAAAATATATATATATATTAGAAAAAGCACCAATAATCTCACCACTTTAATAAGACCATTTTTACTTTTAGCAAATTAGCTTCCACATGTATTTATAATATAGCTTTCAAGAACTATGTCAGCTTTGTAACATTGTATTGTTGTTTTAGCAGAATTTGTTATATCATTCCGAAATGTTGGACATTGAGGTTATTTTTTTCTGTTATATCAATTTTGCAATGAACATCTTTATGCAAATAATTTTTCTTTTTACCTATTGCCTTAAAATGAATACCAAGAAATACATTGACTGATCCAAAGGCTATGAGCATCACTTAGTAGCTTCTCTTCATGTTGACATAATGCTTTTCAAAACATTATTAATTGTATTTTATAGGTATTGCTAGATAAACAAAGCTAAATTTTATTTTATTTTATTTTTTTATTTTTTTAAATATATTTTATTGATTTTTTACAGTAAGGAAGAGAGAGGGATAGAGAGTTAGAATAGAAACATCAATGAAAGAGAGTCACCGATCAGCTGCCTCTTGCACACCCCCTACTAGGGATATGCCCGCAACCAAGGTACATGCCCTTGACCGGAATCGAACCCGGGACCCTTCAGTCCCCAAGCCGACGCTCTATCCATTGAGCCAAACCGGTCTTGGCAACAAAGCTAAATTTTAATCCACCTTTTGGATGGGGGTGTGGTGGTCAGGAATTAGTTGAGGGAGTTTTAAGAAATAATGCAGAAATTTCATTGATCATGTTGTATATTTCACTCAGTTACTAAGATTTATACACACACAAACTCTGAACTTATTTCCTTATGCAACTGTTAAAACTCATTCTTTTAATGGTATTACTAATTATGATACTCTTACTAATAAGTCCTAGAAATTTTTAAAAATATCCTTCAGCATTTAAAATAATTGAAGTAATTGATTTCCATAAGCCATTCTGTATTTATTTAAAAATGTATTTTATTGATTTTTTACAGAGAGGAAGGTAGAGAGATAGAAACATCGATGATAGAGAAACATTGATTAGCTGCCTCTTGCACACCCCCTACTGGGGATGTGCCTGCCACCAACGTACATGCCCTTGACCGGAATCAAACCTGGGACTTTTCAGTCCGCAGACCGACACTCTCTATCCACTGAGCCAAACTGGTTCCGGCAGCCATTCTGTATTTATATCTAATGCCTAGATATATCAAATGAACTAACACACTTTTAATTTTGTCTTTTTAAGGGTCAGGGTACTGATCGGCTACTTTCAACAGAGTCTCATGATGAAGTAACTAATATTCTTCAGCAACCATTGGCCCTTGGTTACTTTGTATCAACTGCCAAAGCGGGTCCGTTACCTGACTGGTTCTGGTCAGCATGTCCTCAAGCACAATATCAGTGTCCCCTTTTTCTTAAGGTATTGCCATTTCTATGCTAGTTCCCAAATAATGCTAACTGTTGGTTTACATCCTAAGAAATATATAAAAGTGGCTTTTTGAAACCTTTTAGCTTTTGTCTAAGGTCTTAAATGCATTGCCACATTTGATTTTATACAAGATTACCAAGAGAATTATCTCATTATGCAATAACTCTAATTTTTGAATTCATATTAAGTTTGAACTTTTTTTTTAAATTTGAATTTTTAGTCTTAAACTTCTGGACCTTTGCTTGCATTATTATTATATTATGATTATTCTTAAATAATTCTTTATTGTTGAACTTGTATTACTTTTCAAAGCATATCTGAAGTTTTGAGCTGGGGAGAAAACTTATGTTACCAGAATTTGGTTTTCAAGACAAAATAAATCTGTTGGATTTTTCAAGTATCTCCTTTTTCTTGCCTTGACTATTCCAAATCTGTCTTCCTATAGTTTTAAAATAAAGAAGTTATTTTAACTAAGCAAAAAAAAAAAAAAAAAAAAAAAGATTTATAACTTTATAAGTAAAATATTTGCATATGCTTATTCCTGTTAACTTCTTTCAGTGCTACATCTAGGTCTGTCTTTATAGGCTTAAGTTCTATGTAACCTAGATGGAGACTGTACTGAGGCTTATCCGTCCAGTGCTTTCTTAAACATTTACTTTACCCTTATAGGCAAGTTTACACTTAGAAAATCATTGGAAATCCTTTTTTTTTTTTTTTAAAGATTGTGTCTAAAAACAAAGCTGAAGAAAAGGAAGTAAGGTTTGATATAAATTACTGCTACTGTAATGAATTAAACAAAAATAAGCATTCTTATATTCCTTACATAGGTCTAAAATGTATCTCATCAAGGCAGGCACCTTGATTTTTTTCCTTTGGCTGATATCCTGTTACTTTTCTTGCTATTTTTAGGCCTCTTTGCACCTCCATGTGCCTTCAGTGCAATCTGACGAGCTGCTTCACAGTAAAGACTCCCACCCACTTGACTCAAATCAGACTTCAGATGTCCTCAGGTACAGCTCTTTTACCATCAGGTGTTCTCTCCAGGACTGATCCTTACATATTTTTTTGGGTCTCAAGATAAATGATATCATTCAGAATGAGTGCTTTCTCTTGCTAACACATTGTGATCTACTTTTGAGAGTAATTTTTATGAATTACTTTAATCTTCCTAAGGACTCACTATTCTATAACTTCCACTTTTTTTTTTTTTTTTTAATGTTTTTATTGATTTCAGAGAGAGGAAAGAAGAGGGAGAGAGGGGTGGAAACATTAATAATGAAAGATAATCGGCTGCTTCCTTAACGACCTCTACTGGGGATCAAGCCCAAAACCTAGGCAAATGCCATGACCAGGAATTGAACCATGACTTTCTGGTTCATTGGTCAACACTCAACCACCAAGACACACTGGCTGGGTCCTTCTTCTTCTTCTTCTTCTTTTTTTTTTTTTTAAGTTACTTTGAATCTTACTAATAAATGCCATAATTTGGAAACTGCTCCCAAAATCTACAGTATAAATAAATACATGACTTAAATAGTTTATTTGCTTTCTAGGTTTGTTTTGGAACAGTACAATGCACTCTCCTGGCTAACCTGTGACCCTGCAATCCAGGACAGACGCTCATGTCTCCCAATTCATTTTGTGGTGCTGAATCAGTTATATAACTTTATCATGAATATGCTGTGATCTTCATTTGATGGAACTGTGCGAGAAAATAACAAGGAAAAAAAAGACATTTGCTGCAAGATTAAGTTACAGTTATCTTCTCACTGAAAGTCATTGTGATAGGGTCTAAATCTTATTACTTCAACAAATATTGTTTTGACTTGGGGGGAGGGGCTATAACCCTGCTATTTTTCATTGACTATATTGAACTCTTTAGAGTGATGACTGATCATACAAAACGTATTATAACATTTTCGTAGCAAAATTAACCTTTTTTTTTTTCCAGTCACAGTATTTGTGAAGAGTAATGAGCCATAGTACCCAGTCATGTTAAATGAATAATAAAAGCATGGAGAGGAAACAAGGAACAATGAATTTTAACATATGGTTTCAGAACATCAAGATGTTCTTGTATTGGAGTATAGTATCTAGTATTCAAAATGCCTGCATCTCTTATTTATTGTAAGTTTTTAAATGTATAAATTGTCTTATATTTCTTAACCTCTTTTATAAAAATTTTCCTAGAAGGTTTATACTGCCTTCTTGCTTTAAAGCAATTGGTCTAAAATATATGTAATCGTCTTAATTAAAAAGTTGCAGTAGGGTTGCTTTTAGAGTATTATTTTTTTGTAAGGGGGGGGTGGGACAGTAAATTTGTATTGTCTTGATGTACAGTTTAATGGGAATAGAGGGGGAATAATGTCCATACCATTGTGTGTGGAGGATTTACAGCTAAGCTGTAGTTGCAGAGTACATGTACAGTAATGAAGTTCACTGTGTTTATAAATTGAAAAGGTACCAGGTCTTACAGCATTTTATATATCACACCTTTACAGAATAACATGATGGCAATATACAAAGTGATATTGTTAAGTGGTTTAACTTAGAATAAAATGAGAAACCTTCAGTTATATTTTGTACTATGGTTTAGGGCTATGACTAATATTTCAGGCCATTTCCAGTGGGAAAAAAACTTAGTTTTACAAGAAAAACATTTGCTACTGAATGCTTAAACTAATTTTGGTGTTTCATGTTACATGCTTAAATTTTTTTCAGTTTTAACAGTGGCACATCTAGGCATGGGAATATTAATTATGAAAATTATCTTCAGGATCTGCTATAAGGTTGAAATTTAGCCCAGCTCTAGGCATTTTACAAATTATTTTAAGAGCAGTCACTCTTGATTGTTTGACTTTTTTTTTTTTTTTTATTAAATTAAAGATTGGGAATGTGTGTGAGAGTATGCATATGTATGGGTGTGTGTGTGCGATCAAACTGTGGTGTAAATAGATTCTCAGTGAATTCTGGTATTCAGACTCTATTTCACTAGTTAAAAACCATTTTCTAAACTTAACCTGTTTGTTTCCCCTTTGCCTTTTATTTATTTAATTTTCTTGGTTTGGAGATGACAGTCCCAAACACCAGAGTCTGTACTTTTCTATAACACAGTTCAGATTAAGGCAGGACATATGTCAAGGAGGTTCTCACCTCCCTAAAGAAGGGACTTGAATTTTAGGGACTTTAATTCACCCCTTCCTTCGATACAGCTTTCCCCCTTCTTGTTTGCACATGCCAAGATAATTGCTTCTATGCAGGCTTTACCCCCTTGAAAAATCCTTTCTACAGTGCTGCTCACAAGAGAGTCCAAGTTAGCCGCCTACCCGTGCTGCTGACTTGAATTCACAGTCGCCAAGTCTACCTTTCTTTCTTGGAAACAGTCTAGCAAAATTCCGGATTTGTAAGTTCACTAATTCTCTACAAGGACAAAATCAATTGTATTTACAAAGCAGTAATTCGGTATTTTTATTTTATTTTATTTTTTACTGAAATATGTTTTGTAAATTCTATTATGCTTAGCTTAAATATCACTTTCTTATGAACAGTATAACTTCTTCAAATTGTGTATATTAAAACATTAAGTCTTTTTTCTATAAAGAAAACACAATTAATGACAAAGATTTATCAATCATTTTTTTCAAAATTATGCAATCCCAATGGTCAGCATATTTTGAAATTAAAATTTAAAGATCACATCTCTGCATTCATTTTTAAATTATGCTAACACACTAAGGATTATGTTGCATGTTTATTCTATACTTTAAAAAAAAACTTGTCTGAGATTTGAAGGAAAAGATGCTTATTTGGAATTTCTATAAAAAGAGTATCCTTTTTTATATACTTAGCACAATAGTAACTTTTAAAAATAGAAGCTATATTCTAAGTTGTTTAAAATTACTAGCCTTTAGTAACCACATCTCAGTTTGAAAATAGATTTTTTAAAATTATTCCCTGACAGTTTCTTTTATATGGAGCCATAAGAAATGAACCCAGTATACAATTCCTTTTTATTTGGGAATCAGGGAGTAGTTCCTAAATATACAGGATTTACTGATGTGTTTTTCTTCCTTTCATATATAAGTTCACACTCAAATAGAAAATTATAAAATAGCCATTAGAAAAGGTCAGGAGACTTATTTTGAAGAAAAAAAAAAGCCTTTTATGCAGGATGATGGATCTTACTAGTATTTACTAGTAAGGAGTACTTACTAATGTACTGTCACAGACAAGTATAGGCTGTTTTGTTTTGTTTAAATAGGTAAGCAAAATAATATGCTTTATACCACTTGATCAGCAACACCTTGACTTCCTTGTTACAGTGCTAATATCTGTTTTTTTGTGCTGTTATCCATTATAAAGCAGGGTGGAATTTCAGTATTTTGGCATTTTAAAAGATTACTTATATAATTTCTGCTTCCAGCCAGTGAGAAACATCTAGCCATACCTTTCTTATGCAAGCCATTCAGTTATCAGGACTGTGAATTAACACTGTATGAATAAATTTCTGTACACCTTATTGTTTGGCCAGAAGGCCACCAAGTGTACTTATATGTAATCCTTAAATTTTAAAGTAGTTGTAATTTTTAATCTTTCTAAACTTTTCTTAAACCACTAAAATTAAGCTCTTACTACTTAGTCAATTATCCTCAGCTGTATTCCTACTCAATTGTCAGTACGGCACAGATTACTGTATTAAAATATTCTCCTTTTGTCTTCATATTTACCTTCTGAGGTAACTTTTTTAACTTAATGTGTTACTACAAAGATTTGCAGATCTTTAATCAAGCACTATGTTAATACTGTAATATCAAAATACTATGTTGCATTATTTAAAATGTTCAAATTGAATACATTAAAAGGAAGTTTTTAAATGCTGTTGCATCATATAATTTGCCTCTCATCCACTATGGCATTGAATATCAGTCTGTTAATACATTTAATGTGCATGAGTGATGTTTTAGTTTGGTTTTCTCTTAAGATTTTAGTTTGTCTAACTTAAAGAAAAATGTTTTTGACATACATTTTTTTGCCCCATCCCCCAAATCAGCTGGAAATCTTAACCTTTTGGGGTTTTCTTGGTGTTTTAATGGGCCCAGAACTGTGGTTTAAATTTTTATATATATATATATGTTTTCTTTTTTGTGGAGTATGAACTAAAAAACTGGATTTGGGACCTAAAATACTCCTCAGGTTGATGTGTTCATGAAGTTTTAAAATAGCTTTAGTTTTCAAAGTAAACTGGATTTGTGGACCTTACAGTTACTGAATTTAAACTACAAATTGTAACATCATTACTGGACATGTGTCAGCATCAACTCAAAATAGCTTGGTCACTTTATGAAGGGGCGTTTTAAAGTTGTTTAGCAGTGACACTTAATATGGTTCAATTGCTTTTTTTTTTTAACGTGACATAAAAGAATAAGGAACAAACACTATTGCTGCCGAATGCCATAACACTGAGTTGTATAAATTGTGATTGAGGAAATGAAAAGGTTTATACTTTTAAAAAAACACACAAAAAAACAAAACTTCAAATGGAATAAATTATTCATGAAGCCTTCATTGTGGTGTCTCATTCTGTTGAAAATATCTCCAAAGTTTGTGTGAAAATTAGGAGTAGTATTACTTTTTTGGTCATTTATAAATGGAAAGGAGCAACCTAAAAACTGATTAATGGACTTTTAACTTCTCCATCCTAAGTATTTTATTTTTTTGTTAATCCTCACCCAAGCATATCTTTTTCCATTGCTTTTTAGAGGAAGGGAAGGAGGAAAAGGGTGGGGAGGGAGATCCATTGGTGGCCTCCCGTATGCATTTGGGAGGGAACCTGAAACCCAGGTGTGTGCCCCTTGATGAGGAATTGAACCTGCACTCCTTTGGTGTGAGAGCCTACCTTCTAACCACCAGATCACACTGGCCAGGGCTGAAGTATTTTATTTTTAGAAAATATTTTAATCATATATCAAAGTTAAATATATAGGAAAATATATATATACACGTGCATACTAATTCCTTTTAGACTGATTAGTTTAATAGTTTTCTAGTTGAAAGAAGTTACCTTCAAATATTTAAAGCATAGCTCTGTCCTATTTTTTTTTTTAAATCACAAATATTTTAGAAACAAGATTGTTATTCAAATATGAACAATCCATTAAAAATAGCTCCATCCTTTTTTGTTCTCTGTCCATTTTGTCTTAAGCAACTATCCTATATAATAAAAGGGTAATATGCAAATTGCCTGGAAAGTGGAACGACCAGAACACCTGCAGCCCCTTGCCCTAGCCAGCCTGCCCCCGATGGTGACCATCGGGGGCAGGCTGGCTGGACCCCACTAGTACACAAGTTAGTGCACTGGGCCTCTAGCCATATATATTTAAAGCCTAATACACAAATTGACTGAACAACCAGTGGAACAGCGGTTGCTATGATGCGCACTGACCATCAGGGGCAAACGCTTAATGCAGGAGCTGCCCCGGGCCCCAGGCCAGCCATAGTTGCCAGCGGGGGCCCAGTCCACAGCAGAGGGAGGCGATCCGTGGTGGCAGCAGGGTGATCAGGGAGCGGGGCTGGCTGGCGAGCTTGTGCTGTCCCGATTGCCCAGCTGATCACCTCCAAGACGGATGCCAATAGGGGCCTTCTGCTGGCCCCACCAGTCACCCCACAGAGGGAGGAGACATGGGATG